CTCTTTTTTTAAAAAAAGTTGTAAAGCTTTAGAACAGTGTGGACATAACCTTGAAGAAGGAATGCAAGAACAATTATGTAAATAGCAGCTCAATCCAGAGAATGAGGAGGTGGTGAGAAAGAGACTCAAGATTACCCTGCCTTGATTATCTTTGATATATCAGGCAGAGAGGAATTCTGATAGGTTTCGATTGTATTATATAATCTGTTGACCTGATGTACCTCGAAAGCTTGACATATATTTAGCTATTAATTTCAGTGTAATTCAAGGTGCTAGTTATCAGCTTTAAAGCTCTACCTGGCATGGAATCGGTTTATTTGCAAGATAATCTCCCTGAGAGTAACAGAATTGGATAGGGTAGGCAAGCTCTAGGTCTCCTTCCTAAATGTTGCCATCTCATGGGACCTCTGAAGCAGGACTTTTCTGAGACTCCCTTTATTCATGGAACATCCACCAGGCCCCCCACTCTTACAGCCTTCCAGAAGGCCATCATTTTTAACCAAGTGCTGGGGTAGAGGGAGTGTCATTAGTGTTGGTTGCTAGGACACTGCAAGAGGATGACTGAGGTACTAGGTTTTGGTTGTGTTTAACGATGTTATGGTTTTTATAGTTCAGGGTTTTTATTGTTGTAGTGAGATGTCCAGAGGATGGCAGACATATACATCTTATAAATAAAATAAAAAGAAATTAATTTTCATTTGTGTTCATTTTTTCCCATTATCATCATCACTATTTGGAATTGCATATAGTGCAATTACAGTTGGGATCTCTACTGTCAGAAGAAATTGAACCTGCCAGCTTCTCCTATGATTATAGGGACAATTGTGGGCTAGAAATCTATATGCTTTTATTTGTATCTATATCTTTATATTCCATATTACTGAAACATTTACAGTCATAATCCGAATTAGGTCAGTCCAAATAAAAAATAAGATTCGTTGATTTTTTGTGACATGCACACAGCATAGGAGAGATTAACTTGCTCCAGATAGTGAATGACAACTTAGAAAATGAGCCAGATTCCCAGTTGGTGACCTATCCAGTACAGTAACTGTTTATAACATTATTTTTTTTAAAATGGTGTAGAGATGGATTTAAAAAGTCTCTTAAGTTTATCAATTAAGCCCATAATTTCACATTAAAACATCACAATAGAAGATGATAAATCATCAAGGGTTGCATATATCTATTAGATGATTTATACTTAATTCTGATCAAGCGCTTGGACCTGTGTACCTTGGCTTTAACTAAGTGCCTGTTTTCCTACACAGAACAAGGTAACATGAATGCTTCTGATACCTTTGTCAGTTTGTACACCTCTGAAGACATAGTACATCTACTGCAGATCTGTATCCATCATTGTTTCCCTTGTGTAGGAATAAGACACTGAAGAAACTTAGCAGCATCTCCAATGATTCCAATCAGGAATCTTTAAAGTCCCATTATATGCTCTCCAGAAATGTCTACTGTGCAAAAGCTTAAAAAACATAATTATGAAGATGATAGTGTTGTGGCTGTACTTTGCCACCTCTTATTAACATCCAGATGTAATGCTCTGTGGGATGATAAGATATATTCATCAGTGTATGATCTAAGAGCTGAGGAACAGAACTATGAAACACTAATTCTCAAATTGGGACTACCTGGCTTACTCAAGAGTAGGAAGGACATGTGGGCCTGCATGCAGACACACCAGATTCCATTTATGACCCGACACCTTGAAATCACACCACTGAATTTCAGCCCATTTTGGGTAGACTTAGCAAGACCACTGTAAACAGGTATGCAACTTATGCACTGGAGAAAGATGTCATAATAGTAGGGACAAATGTTGGGAACAGTAGTGCTGCAAGGAAGCCCACCAGTTACTACTTCACATGTCTGCACATGCACTATAGAAGAAAATGTAGAATGAAGTGCTATGAAGACGAAGCTGCTTTGTGATATGATCTGATGCTCTAGTAGTGGCAAAAAAAAGTTTGCACGTAGGTGTCTTGGGAGGTCAGCGATGGCCCTTGGACTTAAAGTGAGAATAAGGATGATAATAAATGGTTTACCTCCCAGAATCATCCATGCTCTTATTTTTCTATTTTTAAAAAAGTTTTCAGATCATTTTTCTGGTTCTTAGGGAAGTCATCAGTGTGATTTCTCTCCCAGGGATCTGCAACGTATAATGAATCCAACAAGATAGTGGCGGGAAGGTAAGTAAATATATAGTATGGATATATTTGAAACTAATAATTTATTTTATAAGATAAAGAAACAGCTCCAATCAACAGATTCTGTTAAACATTTGGAGCTGGCTGTGTTCCATCAGAACAAAACTCAGTACTAATTGATTGTTCCAGACAGCCATGGGAAACAATGGGAACAAAAAACCATGTACATTACTACCAGCAGCTGGGCTGGTAGTAATGCTGAATACTGCCTGCCAAGCAAATTCCATAAAATCTGACCAAGGTATGATTTTCCATCATTTTTGTTCCAAAACAATTAATTCATTTCCTTTAAGAGCTTTCTTAGCATTTTAATTTCTGAAAATCCATTTTCTGCATGTGAAATTTAAATGAGAACCCTTCCCTCTTATCAGCCTGCATGTGTTCTTAAGTCAGCAGAAAAAGTTTCACCTAAGGATCTGAGAGAACTGGTGATAAAACAATCATTTGATTTTTTTCCTCCCCCACACTTTTCAACACATCCCACAAAGCTCTCAAGTTGAGCTCAACCCTTGGCAATTATACCTATGCCATTATCTTGCATAAAAATAAGAATGAAAGAAGAGATTTGTCACTGCCTCTTTCTGACATGTATTTTAATTTTTCAGATCTAGAATTCCCGGATTATCCCCCATGAAATAACTAGACTATTTAACTTCTAACTTCTATTTAACTATTTAACTTCTGCAAACAGCCACAGTTCCCACTCTGTTCTGATAGAAGTAAGTCTTCATCCTGGTTCATCCAAGCCGGAGATAAATAAGCAACATGGCGACTGCTTTGGGAAGAAGGTTACAGTTTATTGAAGAAGCAGAAAGATGGTCCTTGCAAGAAGGAGCAGAGGAGAAGAAAGAGAGTGAGCACACGGGCAGTAGGTTTTTTATACCCTCTCTAGCCCTGTTTGGAATAGTTTCCTGTTCCTGTGGCATGAACCTTGAGGATATCTCTGAGTGTTTTTCTAGGCCTTGATATCTGTGGTTTAATCCTATTATCATATCCTGCTTCCCAGGTGATGGGGCTAATGACTCCTAGAGTTTGGGTGGGGCATGCAGATTTTCTCTTTGTCTTCTTGATTGCTCTGGCTTCAACTTTCTGATAGTTTTACATCTGCATTTGTATGGGGCTAGGTCTTGCTTGGGGCAGAGAGATAGATTTGGAGCCAAAGTTGGTTTCTGCTTTTTAAAATACTTTTGAGGAAATATATTTTTCTGCCCTTTTAATATTTCCTTCTCTGGGGCTCTGACTTCCCACAATATCCCCGCTTTGTGCCTTAAGTGTGAGAAGTTCCAACTTGCTGAATATTACATCTTACATCAGTGTAACTTCTTTGTCTATTTAAGCCATGATCGATAAATAAGATGTATATAAAGAAACTCCAAATACTGAAATGTATTTGGTTAGCATAAGGATGATAGCTGTCAACCTTTCCATGCCAAATAATATACTCTACTTTAAATGGCACCTAGAACAATGTCATGTTCATCTCACGGCCCTACCCACGAATGTTCATGAGATGTGTGTTGGCCAACAACTTTAAAACAGCAAGCACAACAAATCAATGCATGTTATAAAGAGGTGGAGATGCAATTATCCAGTCACACTGCTATTTTGACACTACTGATTCCCAGGCACACCCAACTGTTCCTGCCATTAGAAATAACAGTGGTCAACTGAGAAAAGGCCTTTTGACATAGTACAGAGGAGTGGCATACCCTTGGTTAAGACTTATCTGTTCATCTGGAAATTTATGAACAGTTGATGGCCTCTGGACCTATGATTGATTATTTTTCTGTGTGTGTATGAATAAGTGGCATCTGTTCATATATATATATATTATATACAAAAGAACCATGTAGTCCTGCTCCTACATGTCCGATAGAATGGAAAAATGCTAATTAGAATGGAAAAATGCTAATTACAATAATTTTGAGATTTTAAATGCCCAATAGAAATGCGGGTATTATTGTATGACGTCAATCTGAACAACATTATGACCTATTAAATCCTATACACTCATGCAGACTTTATAATGCAATCACAGAGATCACAGCGTAATGTCCCAAATCGCTAATATTCAAAAATATTTAACAGGCATTACAAGCATCGCTACTTCCCAATCCACCATTCATGAAAGAGAAGCGACGGAGAAAACCCATTAGTTACATCATATTTGCAATGCACAACGTGGGTGACAAATGCCTCTCTCCTAAAAGGACTTCTCCAAATCACGAGAAAGGCATTTCTTTAAGTGAGGAATCTCGCCAAGGCTCAGCTCCGAAGCCTTTCCTCTTGGGAGAAGTTGGCAATAATTAATCGGCGCCGCCGAATTGAAAACACCGCACTGCAAGCTACGCAATCGCCCGCGTGCCACGTGCTCCAACACTCTCTTGCAGCAAACCTGCGTTCTCTCTTGCAAAAAAAAAAAAAAAGCCCAGCGGTGCTTTGGAGACAGGGGCATCTTCTTGCTGGGAAAGCCCCGTACAACATGGCCCCAGTAAGGCCCCTCCTTCCTTCGCCTTTACGCCCCGACCCTTACCTACTCCATTTTCTGCCTCGGCGGCTTCCTATTCTCACATGGCCATGCATATGGATCTGTGAGCGGCGAAAAGGCCAGGTGCGAGCAGTCGGACGGCCGGTGGAGAGTCTGCGAAACGTTCGGGATGGGGCCTTGTTGTGTCGCCCGGCGCTGGAGGCTAAGGAGAGGGGCGGTAGGGGGGGCTGGGCTTTTCCTAGCCTGCGAAAGAATGGAGGCACTGCTAGCACCTTTCCATTTGGAGGGCCGACATGAGGGTCGGATCCAGGCACTTCTCCTGCTCCACTTGGCTGAGATTGACATCGCGGCCGGGCACCAGGTTCCAGGCGGAGAAATTGATGAGAGCGTCGAGGCTGTAGCGGCTGCACTGGCTCCGCACCTGCCGCCCGTCCCGATCCTCCAGGGGGATGCTGGCGTTGAGCCATTCCGCGCTCAGGTTGGCGCTGGCGGGCACCCGGCACCGGTGCTCGGGGGTGCCGGCTAAGAAAACGGCGGACATGCCGTTGAAGCCATTGGGGATGATGCTGGCGCTGAGTAAGAAGAAGATGAGGCGCTGGTAGGGACCCCACTCGCCCAGGAAGGCGATGATCTCGTCGTAATCCCGCATAGCGGCTACGGGCACAAAGAACGGCCGGCGGAGGAAAAGCTACACCCCCCAGACCGGCTGCTGAACAGAGCCCGCGCTGCGCCCTTCTGACTGGTTCTGGCATCCCTCCGGAGGTGGGGTCTCTGCCGGTCCGACTCCGCCTTTCTCGCCTCCCTCCCCCCCCCCGCGCCACCCCCGAGCTGGTTTCTGATCGGCCCCGCCCGAGATAACCTTCAGCCGATCGGAGAGGTTTCATCCTGCCGGAAGGCGAGTCACTTGTGAGCCCGCCCGGAGGCGTCCTTATGACGATGTCTGGGCTTTGGGCGGGAAAAGGCATCGAAAACGCTCGTAAACAAGCTGGCTGTATGCGGTGGTGAGCCCCGAGCAAAGCCCCTCTTGCTAGTTCTTCCGCTAAAAGGACTTGTGTTCCCGGCGAAGGCTGCGCGGGAGAAATGGACAGAAGCTGAAGTCACTGGCTGGCTTGGCAAGGTGGCATGGTTACTCGTGGTTAGCTCAGACAATAGTCTCGGCTTACATCACAGTTGAGCTAGTTAACTAACCTTTGGTCTGGGAGGGTTCACCCAATACCTGAGGTTAAAATGTGGCTGGCCTACCGTAGTTGCTGGAAATCAGCCCTACAAGTAGTAGCCAGTTATGACAAAGATCATTGAATCACCTTTTTTCTTGTGTATTGTGTGATCCTGGTGCTTAGTTGATGATTCAATCTTATGCAAAGCCCAGAATAGTTAATTCCACAACCCTAGTTTAAATTTTTTTATATATAACTTTCTTATTTTTCCCAACTTTTCTCCATACGTATCAACAAATATACCGCGATATTTATCACGTGTTGACATACATTCTTTTTACATTCTTATCTATCAGATACTCTTAATAAAATAAAATAAATACATACACATAAATTTTGGTGTTGCTCGCCCATTTCACTTTCATTGTATCCACATCCCTACTCTTTCTTCTCTACCTTATTTCTCCCTTTCTTCTCTATTTCCCTCTTCTTCCTCTCCTCTCTTTCCTTCACCACTCCCTTCCCATTTCTCCTCTTCTCCTCCAACCTTCCTACTTCCTTTTCCCCCTCCTTTACTCTCTTCTCTCTCTCCTCTCCTTTCTTCCCTCTCATCCCTCTTCAGATACAATTCAGGGGTAATGTCCGAGCAGCTCCTCTCTCTAAATTTCCCTATCTATATTACATATAATAAGATTAGTTTTCTATTATGTTAATACTTCTATTTATCTGACCTTCTCGGTATATACTTCTATAAGTATTTATACGATCTCCAGTTATTCAATACTGTGTCGCCTGGATCTTCCTCCTTATCTCCTTTTTCTTCCATCTAAGTTGGTGTTAACTATTTTTTAACCATATTCTCTTTTCACCCAATCATAAAAAATTCCCCAAATTTCATAATACTCTGACTTTTTTCTTTAATTATCATTGTTAATCTATTCATCTCTGCACATTCCAGTATTTTCCTGATCACCTCTCCCTCTGGGGGGGCTTTCGGTGCTTTCCAATTTTGTGCAAACACAATCCTGGCTGCCATAATTATATGAATAATCAAATATGTTTTCTCTTTATTATAGTTCCCTGGTAAAATACCCAGCAGGAATATTTCTGGTCTTAGTTCTATACATTGTTGTATCATCTTTTCTATCCATGTTCTAATTATATTCCAATAAGTTTTAGCTTCTACACACGTCCACCACATATGATAAAAAGAACCCGGTATTTGATGGCATTTCCAACATTTCATAGATCTGTCCTTAAACATTTTAGCTAATCTTTCTGGAGACATGTGCCATCTATAGCAGGGCTTTTCAACTTTTTCACCCATTGTACCACTTTTATGATATGGCAATATCCGAGTACCACCAGTCGCCTAGCAAGGTGTCAAAAACTTGATGACCAAAAAAAAAAGTGATAAAGTACAGGTAGTTCTCGACTTACAACAGTTCGCTTAATGACTATTTGAAGTTACATTGGCACTGAAAAAAGTGCCCCCCAAGCCACAGCCGAGCAAGACACCTGCCTGCCTGCCCTGCGGCGCTCTTCCTGTCCGAGGTTTTCATTGTTGTGAGCATTTCTGTTGAGGATTGGCAGCGCGGGTGGGGTGGGGGTGTTTGGCTCCCCCCCCGTCTGCTGGGTGGTTGCAGCAGGTTTTGGTCACTTCACATGACCCTGGGACACTGTGACCATCATAAATATGAATCAGTTGCCAAGCATCTGAATGTAAATCAAGACCCTGGAGATGCTGCAACAGTCCAGCTGATCGGCGCTTCTTCTGGGCTCAGCAGAAGCACCAGGATCAGTGCCGAGCTCCAGCTGGAGCCTGGCACTGATCCTGGTGCTTCCACTGAGCCTTGACAGCCCCGAAGAAGCGCCAATAAGCTGGAAAGCGGCACTGATCCTGGCGCTTCTGCTCAGCCCTGCAGCTCCAGCCATCTCTCACTCAGGCTTGTGCAGTGCTGCCACCAGTTCAGCTCATTCCCCTCCCCCGCTACCACTTTTCTAGGATGGTCGTGTACCACCTGCCAGGTGCCAATGTACCACAGGTGGTACCCGTACCACTGGTTGAAAAGCCCTGATCTATAGAACAGTTTGTACATATTTTCTTTATACGTAGTCGCCATTGTCAGTTTATAGTTTCTTTCCCATAGTTGCTGACATCTATCTAATTCAATCGTATATCCAAAATTCCTTGTCCATTTTATCATTGTCTTTTTCACTTGTTCCTCCTTTAACTCCATATGTAGTAGGTAACTACATTTTTTTTATCCATTTTTCTTCCGTTCCTGTGAGTATTTCATCTAACTCTGTTGTCCCCAAGTTAAAACCATCTATTTTAACATCTTTTTCATATCTAGATTGTATTTGCGTTCTCATGTACCAATCCATCTTTATTCCTTGTTCCTCTAATTGTTTGGTTTTCAACTCCCCCATATCTGTTAGTAAGTCTTTATATCTTATAATATTTCCCGTATTAAGCATATTGGCATGTATTAGCGCTTCCATAGTTGAGAGCCAGTTTGGAATCTTCAAATAATACTTTCTCTTTATTTTTTCCCAAACCACTAATAAAGAATTCCTTATATGGTGTCTCTGGAAATAGCTATGTATTCTATTTTTCCCATACCATATGAAAGCATGCCATCCCAACTGCAAGTCATGTCTCCCTAATGTCAATAATCTTGTATTCCTCAGTAAGATCCATTCCCTCATCCATGATAATGCTGTGATTGGCTTATCATGAATTGCCAGTTCACATTGTCAAGTGCCTTCTGTGCGTCCAGGAACATCAATGCCATCTGTTTCTTGGGGTGTGTTTCATAGTATTCTAATGTGTTTAATACAATTTGCATATTGTCTCTAATCTGTCTTTTGGGTAAAAAACCATTTTGATCCGATTGTATAAATTCATTTAAAAACTTTTTAATTCTTTCCGCCATTATTGATGCAAATATTTTATAGTCCACATTCAGTAGGGAAATCGGCCTGTAGTTCTTTATTTTCTGCATTTCCGTTTCTTCCTTTGGTATCAGGGTAATAAGTGCTTCGGACCACGAATCTGGTATCTTAGCTTCAAAAAGATCATTATAAAGTTCCAACATTACATTGCCTAGTGCTTCCTGCAATATCTTGTATAGCTCTGCTGGTAATCCATCCGGTCCTGGTGTTTTACCATTTTTTTGTCTTTTAATTGCTTCTGTTAATTCCATCATTGTTATTTCCCCTTCTAATAACTTTTTAAATTTCTCCGGTATTTTAGGTATCTCTGTTTTTTCCAAGAATTATTTTATCCTATCATCTGGAACTGTTTGTTGCTTATATAAGTTCTCATAATATTCCCAAGTTATTTTTTTCTTTTTTTCATTCCGATGTTGTAAAATCCCCTCAGCATCTTCCAATTGTTTAATCCATCTCTTCTCTTTCTCCTTTTTAATTTTATATGTCAACCATCTCCCTGGTTTGTTTGCATGCTCAAAAAAGGTTTGCTTAGCTGCCTTTATTTTCATTGCCACTTCTTCATTTTCTATTAAATTCATTTTATGTTTGTTCAGCTCCATTACATTTTTAATCTTTTTGTTTTGTGTATCTTTCTGTAATTCTTTCTCAAGTGTCTTATATTCTTCCTCCAGTTTTCCGTTATTTTGTTTTTTCTGTTTATTCTTTTTCCCCAAATAAGTCATAGCAAGTCCTCTCATGTACGCTTTCGCCGTGTCCCAAACATTTTGAAGTGAAGTATCTTCTTTTTTGTTTTCCTTAAAAAAGAAAGATATTTCTTTTTCCGTATATTGCTGAAAGTCTTTTTCATTCAATACAGTTTGGTTTAATGTCCATCTTGTTCTCTTTTTTTGTCCTTTCCATATGATTGTAACTGGGTTGTGATCCGACCATGTGCTTGTTTCTATGGCTATATTTTGTATATTTATAAATAAATCTGTTGACGTCCATATCATATCAATTCTCGACCAGGACAGGTGTCTGTTAGAGTAGAACGTGTATTGCTTCTTTTCCAGATATTTTTCTCTCCAAACATCAAATATATTTAGTTCGTCCACCATGCTATAAAAGGATTTTGGGAGTGTTCTTCTTAGAGTCTTGCCTTTTTTTTTTGTATTATAATCCAGCTCAGCCTTTACAATAGCATTAAAATCTCCAATCATACATATGCTTTCATATTCCAGTTCTATTATTTTCTTGTGTAATTTTAAATAAAAGTTCTCTTGGTTTTCATTTGGAGCGTAGATCGCTACCAATAATGATTTTTTACAGTTCATAATTACTTCCACCATTAAGATTCGTCCTTCTTTGTCTGAATATATCAATTTAGTTTGTATTGCTTTCTCTTTTACTCTGATCCGCAAGTGAAGTATATAGTTTTCCCAATTTTGGATATTCTAATAGATTTTTATGTTGTTTCCTAATATGAACTTCTTGCAAACAAATTATGTCCATTTTTAATTTCCCCAGTTTATTTAGTGTTCTTTTCCTTTTTATG